TTTTTAAAATGGTTACGCTGACAAAAAACCTCTTCCGGAGGAAAGGGTGATTGTTTTCTTCGTATAATTTGACTTTAGAATGAAAGGCGAGAGGTCATCAAAATTTAAAAAAAACTAAAACTCCGTACTGAACGAACCCGAACTGCTGATGAACAGCAGTCGATCTGCGCACTCAAGGAGGTGCTATTTCTATTCTTCTTCTGGAAAAACGAAAGAGAGCTTCAAAACAGACTGCAGCCCCATCTGAAGCAAAGAGCATACTTCCTGCGGACACTTTTTTGGCTGAGTGGCCCATCTTCTTATTTACTATCTTTGGTGAGAATCGAGAAGTGCTGTGACGACTCCCATTTTCCGCGTGACTGAGATTTATAGTATTTTATATGAATTAAAATGAGGAATATTTCATCTTGCCTCAATAACTTGTTGTTGAAAAATGTTATTACGTTAATTTAGTAGAGGTTTTACGGCGTTTGCAAGACACAACAAGGTCATAAAAGTGCCGAAGATTAGAGGTGTTACAAGAGAGTAACAGACATAAAAAAAGAAGGGGAGATAAGGATGATAGTTGTTTGATAGGAAAGAAGGAGCAAACCACACCAGAGCAACCACCAACCACCCATGATTAAGTTAAGACAAACTGATAAAAACTACTGTAAGGTGCAACGTATGGGGGTAATTGATTCACCCTTTAAAGAGATATTTAAGGATAAGTTGCGCCATGAATTTTTGACTGCTCTATGGTTTTGAGAAATTTGACATTAAAAAATGTTGAGTTCCACAACACGTCTAGCGTTTTCGAATGCAGTACTTTGAGTGTCTTGATAAAGCTCTGAACAATCTTACGATTTGTATCGAGCAGAAAGAACGTACCTGACTTCTTGGTCACAGTAACTCAAAACGGCCACAGATATCAGATAGAACTTTGTAATAATTCTTAGGTAGCGATCTCCCTCTTCCTGCTGGGATATTTGCCAAACTGTCTGGGCAGGCTCCGACAAGTAAGTCAAAGCTAATCACTTCTAAATTCTGTCAAAATGAGCGTAAAACAATTATTTTGCAATCAGGCCCCATGACATAATTATGATCCAAGACAGAGATGTATGATTAGGCTACTTGTCTTATTAATAATTCAAAGTTTCATATTGCTGCTTCTGTTGTTGTTTTTTTTTAATTTTCTGTGACACATCGGTAGCTTTTATTTTATTCATTACTTTATTATTTTTCCTTTTTTTTTGTATAAGCGTTATGTGTTTATATAATATATAAGCTTCTACATAATA